TAGTAATTAGTACTATAATCATGAATGTTCTGGCATATAGTTAATTGGTTAGGCTCACTTCCTTTTGAAGCCCAGAAGATTGAGATGAAGAAGAATACCTCACTGATAATGAATAATGCTACACCAAGGTTAAGACCTTTTTGTACAGCAAATGTGTGGTTTCCTAATAGAGTTCCCTCTGCTACAACGTCTCGGAACCATAGAGCCATTGAGCTCACAGTTGTGATGAATCCGATGATAACAAGGAATCCACCGTTAGATACTCCGTTGAAGTACATTGCAGCGGCCATAGTTAGGATTAGTAATGAGAATGAAGTTAGTAACGGCCATGGTGATGGAGTGAGGGGGAGAGAGGAGAGCGCACCATATCCAAACACGTCGTCGTCCTGCAGCGCGTACGCCCCGCCCTGTCCCTGCTGCGAGACGTACCCGCCCCACCCCGCCCCGGCGCCCGCCGAGGCAGCGCCCCAGCCCGTCCCACCCGGCCCGCCGAGCCCCATCCCGCTCAGGCCCATCGCCTCCTCCGAGCCGAGCCCTCCTCCTCCTCCTCCTCCCGCTCCCCCTAACCCTCCCGCACCGACACCCGCACCGACACCCGCACCCGCCGACGCGTACCCGCTCGGCGGGAGCCCCAAGTGCGTCAAGAGCTCCTCGGTGGCAGCGTTGACGGCGGGCGGGACCGTGCTCGGGTCGTCGAGGGGCATGCCCCAAAAGTCGGGCGAGCTGAAGTACGACTCGGGCTGCTGCGAGGGCTGCGAGGGCGGGGGCGGGGGCGGGTAGGCCGGGTGCTGCTGCGGGTGCTGAGAAGGAGGAGGAGGAGGAGGGTACGGCTGCGGTTGCGGCTGCGACGTCGGCGCAAAGCTCGCGCGCGTCGGTGACGTGGTCGACGACGTCGGCGGCGGCGCGTGGAGGTACGTGCTCGTCGGGTCGAACGACGCGAGCCCGCCCGACGCTGCCGTCGTGCCCGCTGCCGAGACCGTCGACGACGACGACGGCGGCTGCTGCTGGCTGGGCGCGGCCGGGCCGCCGAGAAAGTCGAGCAAGCCCAGGTCGACCGCAAAGTCGGCGTACGACGTCGTGTGGGCGCCCGCCGCCTGTGCGGCCGCCGCCTCGGGGTACAAGGACGACAGCGACGAGCCCGAGCCCGAGCCGGAGGACCCGGAACCGGCGCGAGCTGTCGACGTTGACGACGAGGCGCCGACGTCGCCGCCGTTGAGGCCCGGCGCCGAGGTCGAGGTCGAGTACGCGGCGGCGGCGGCGGCGGCCGGCCCGTACAGGAACGTGGGCCGGCCGTTGAACAGCGGGGCCGAGAGGTCCTGGGTCGAGAACGGCAGGCCCTTGTCGACCTTGCGCGCCTTGTGGTGCTGGTGCGCGTGCGGGTGCTGGTGCGCGTGCTGTTGCTGCTGCTGCTGGTGCTGGGCCGCCGCCGCCACCGCCGCCCCGGGCCCGTGGTGGTTGTCGTACGAGGCCTCGCCGCCCGCCGGCGACGGCCGGTCCGACCCACTGCCGCCCTCGGTCGCCGGGCTGCGCCCGTCGGTCCAGTCGTCCGGGTTGCCGCGCTTGAGGGCCGACTTGAGCGTCGACTGGGGCGAGCACGACGTGCTGCCGCCCGTCGCCGTGCCGCACGGTCGACCGGGCGGCGGCGGTGCGGCGGCCGACACGCGCGCGAGGTTGACGAGCGCGGCGTGCATGCCCGTCGCCATGAAGCTCGACTGGCGCATCGTGTCGAGCGCGTTGATGCAGCGCTTGACGTCGCTCGCGGCCGAGGGCGTGAGGGTCGCGCGCGGCGCGCCGGGCTCGGCCGGGTTGGCAAACACGCCGAGGAGGAGCATGAGGCCGCTCGTGACGGCCGCGATCGGGGCCCACGTCCACACTTTGCCAAACAGGTTGCGCTGCCGCAGCGTGTCGAGGACGTTGGCCATGGCGCGCGCCGCGTTGGTGCAGATGGCGAGCGACGGGAAGCCGAGCGCGCGCGAGCGCGCCGGGCTGACAAACTCGCGGTGGATGAGGATCTGGGTCTGGAAGTAGGTCGACATGAACCACGCCGACGTTCCGAGCTCGACGTCGTTCTGGCGCGCCGGGTTCCACGCGAGGTGCGGCGGGACCGTCTGGATCCACCGGTTCAGGGCCTGGTCGAGCTCGGCGACGGCCTTGATCGTCTGCTCCTGGCTCTTGTCGCGCTTGAGGCCGTACAAGAGCTTGAGCGCGCGACCCATGATGCCGTGCATCTCGATGACGCACGTCCAGATCGTCGAGGCCGACGCGGTCGACGCCGGCGGCGGCGGCGGTGGCGGCTCGCGCCGCAGAAGCGCGAGCTGGGCCGCACGCTCCCACGCGACGAGGTCGTCGTCCGAGATGTCGAGCGGCGCGGCAACGTCCATGTCGTCGTCCGAGATGGCGACGGGCCGGCCGAGCGCCGACGAGATGAAGCGGTCGTGCAGGCACAGGCAGTGGAACGCGCGCTTGCGCAGCTGGTCCTGCATGGGCGAGTTGGTCCACCGCGTGCGCGCCTCGCGGTGCGCGCCGACGTCGACGGCGCGGCGGACGGCAAACCCGATAAAGGTCCACGCCGTGACGAACCCGGTCGAGGCCGTGAGCCACAGGATCTGGAGGACGGCGGCCTGCAGGTCCCACAGCGACGCCGGGCGGAACGGGTCCTGCGCGCGAGAGAGGGGTCGGGCTTACGTCAGGTTCGGCGCTCGTGGGTGCCGAGAGAGGGGAGAGAGGCGGACGCACTCGACTGGCGCTGAGCGAGGCCCAGAAGAAGCTGTACCCGCGCGCGTGATGCATCTCGTTGTTGGCGCCGTCGGCGGCGGCGGTACCGAGGCCCGTGTCGAGGCGAGGATCGTCGACGAACCTGGCGCCCATGGCGAGGACCGAGTAGTCTGCGTCCTCCGAGACAAGGCGACGAGTCAGTGAGGGCTCGAGGGAACGAGGAGAGCTCGAGAGGAGAGAGAGAGAGAGAGAGAGAGAGAGAGAGAGAGAGAGGAGGGACGCACACAGGCCGAGGAAGCTCTTGTCCGAGTGGAGGAGGCCGTTGCGGATCCCGTCCTCGAAGTAGGCGCGGTGGAGGAACGGACACATTGTGCCGATCTGGGAGAAAAAGTCGTCGACGAGGCGCCGCGCGAGGTCTTGCGGCGGGAGCGGCGCGGGCGACAGGTTCAGGCGCAGGTGCTCGGCCGACAGGAGGTGTTCGGCGAGCGACGCGCCGTCGGTCGCCTCGGTCGGCGGCACGGCGCCGACGTAGGCGTGCACCGTCTCGACGAGGTGCAGGCCCGACTCGCGGCCGACGTAGCGCTCGGTCTGGATCACGAGGTCGTCGAGGCGCTCGCTCAGGTCGTGGATCACGTCGAGGTCGGTCGGCGGCGGGCTCGGCGCGCGCGACGAGGCCGACGGCGGGGCTTGTGGTGGCGGTACAGGAGCGGGCGCAGGCGTGTGCGTCGTCGTCGTCGTCGTCGTCGTCGTCGTCGTCGGCGGGCGGGGCGCGATCTGGGCAAGGTTGGCGGTGCGCAGCTGCGGGAGCGAGGGGGCGACGACCGGGGCGGGTCGAGCGAGGGGCGAGGCGGCGCCTGGTAGTGGTGGGGCGGACGACGAGGCGGCGGCGGCGGCCTTGTCGGACGACGAGAGGTTGGACAGGAGCCCCTCCATGGCCTCGAGGCGGCGCTCGAGCGACTCGACATAGCCCTTGGGCGGCGGACGTTTGACGGGGCGCTCCTGCGAGCGAGTTACGATCGGGAGGGAGGTTCATTCGTCAGCTAGATGAACGAGAACAGGGACGTCGATCATGGACCTGGCAGGGGTTCGGGGACCAAGGCGGGCAGGCGCGGAAGGAAAGAGTGGACGCACAGAGAAGACGCAGGGGATGCCTTGCGAGGCGCACAGCGTGCACGGCGTCTCTGCTATCGCCTCCTCGGGGCCGGTGGCTCCTCCAGTCGCGTCGCACCGGATCTGTTGCGCGAGGGAGAGTGAGGTCAGCAAGAGGGGAGGGGGACGCTGACGAGCGGGTGCACGAGGCTGAAGGAGAGGGGTGGAGGACGCACCTTGCGTTTCCTGCATAGGTTGCACGCGCGGACGATGCGGTTCTGGCGGCTCGTCTTGCTCGCCGCCAAGTCGGGGTTCGAGTCGAGCGAGGTCGAGGTGGTGCCCTGGTCGCGATCGGCGGACTGCATGGCGCGCGGTTGCGGGCTGAGGCGCTGGTGGTGGTGGTGGCGGTGGCAGGCAGCACAGCAGCAGGGGCGAGTGGCAGGAGGAGGAGGAGGAGCGCGAGCGAAAGGTCCGCCCGTCCCCGACGGCCGCTTGCGACGATTCGTGATCGACTCACCAACTCGGCATCTCGCAGGTTGGACTCGGTCTGGGTAGCGCGTACGAGTGCTTCAGGACCCGCAGCGAGTCAGAGCGCAGCTGTCTAGCGACGTGGGCCTGTCTTCGTCGCTCGTCTGGATCCGAGCCGAGTTCCGCGAGTACTCGTCGCCTCGCTTCCTCACCCACACCTCTCTCGAGCTTCCTCGCTCTTGCTTCCACCGGCCACACGCGAGCTTCTATCCACAACCTCCGACACCCCTCGCCTCGACTCGCCCGCCGTCGAGAACCGCCCGCCGGCCTCGCATCGGCCTCACCTCACCTCACCTCCGCGTCTCCACAACCGCCCACCGTGGCAGGCACTCCCTCGTCGACCCGCTCCACCCCGACCCAGACCCCGCGCGTCTCGCCCTCGCGCTCCCCCTCCACCGCCGCCGCCGCCGCCGACCCACGACCGCCCATCGCCTCTAGCTCCACCTCGGCACCGAACCCCGCTCTCGCCGCCGCCGCCGCCGCACCAGCGCCGCGCGTGCGCCGCCCACGCTCGCCCGCCCAGCAGCAGCAGCAGCATCAGCAACCGCAGCCGCACCTCGCCTCGGCGCACGGCGGCCGCCCGGGCGCCCTGCGCGGTGCGCGCGCCAGCGCCCTCGCAGCGGGTACCGGCGCCGAGAGCTACCTCGCGAGCGCGTCGGGTTCGCAGACGGACGGCGCAGACGGCGAGACCGAGTCGACCACGAGCGGCGAGAGCGACGGCGACGAGGCTGTCCTGCGCGCGCGCATCTTTGGCGAGGGGTTCGGCGGAGGTGACGCCGTGGCGGCGGTGGGCGGGTACGAAGCGGCGGGCTGGGCGCGCAGCGGGAGGGTCGGTGCGGCAGGCGGTCGAGGCGGGTCGACGGCGAGGGCGGCGGGCGCGGCGGCGCCGCTGTACGACGTGCGCAGGCTCGGCGCGCCGTCGCCGCAGTGGGCCGGCGAGCGAGGGCGCGGCGAGCACGTCCTCGTCAAGAAGCGCAGCACGTCGCCAGGATCCTCACGTGGCGGCGACTACGGTGCTGGCGGCGGCGGCGGTGCAGGAGGAGGAGGAGGAGGCGGCGGCGGCAGCAGTGCGCACCGCGAGCGGTCGTGGGGCTCGGCGCTCCTCGACACGCTCGAGGGCCACCACTCGCACTCGCAGGGCAGCAAGGAGCGTCGCCGGCCCGTGTCGCCGACGCTGAGCGCGCTCCGAGGCGGGCGCGGCTCGTCGGCGCGCAACCGGCCGACCAAGGTCCTGCCCTCGGAGCAGCCACCCGCCGTGCGCGAGCCGTCGCCGCCGCTCACGTTCGACTCGATCCGGCCAGGGTGGAGCAACCCGTTTGCGCTGTACCACATCCGCACCTCGCTCGTATTCGAGGTCGTCATCCTCGTCGTCGCGCTCGCGTTCGCCGTGTACCGCCTGTACTCGATGCAGCCGACGGCCGTCTTTCCCTCGATCCCGGCAGTCCCGCTCGGCGCCCTCGTCGTCTTTACGGTCGCCGTCCCCTTCATCGCGCTCTTCCGCCGCGAGGGCCACTACTTCAAGGCGCCGTTCACCGACGAGCGCGGGTACCGCGACTCGAAGCAGGCCGACGACGGCGTCGCCGCCGCCCTCGTCCTCCCCGTCCTCCTCGCCGTCGCAGTCTGGTGGGACACGTACGCGACCGCCGACGCGACCGGCCGTGGCGTCGGCCTCGAGGGCATCCGCTCGCTCGTCGACGTGTGGGAGCACAACGGCATCCACGCCGCGAGCTCGCCCCGTCTCGCGCTCGCGCTCGGAGGAGGAGGACGAGGAGGGCTCGACCCGTCGGTCCTGTCGGCGCCGCTCGAGCGCGCGAGGGCCCTGTTCCAGGCCCGGTACGAGCTCGTCCTCCTCACGGCGCTCAACGCCGCGTGCCTGTTGCTCCACCTCGCGCTCGCGAGGACCCTGTTCCGCATCGAGCGCCTCCCCAAGAGCAACACGAAGCGCTTTTTCGGCTTCATGGCCGTCGCGACGACGCTCAGCGCCGCCGTGTGGGCCGCGTTCGCCCTGTGCGACTACCTCGTCGACGGTCCGTCCTCCTTTCTCCCTCCTCCTCCTGTCGCGCCCCTCTTTGCGCGCCCCGGGACTGACTCGTTCGTCGCACTGCAGGCGGGCTCCCGATCCACCCGCTCGAGGCGGCCGTGACGACCCACATCCAGCAGTCGTCTTTCTACCTCGTGTCGCGCCTCGCCCGTCGCGGCTTCACGCTCGGCGAGCTCAACACGATGACGGTCGCCGGCAACGCCCTGTGCCTCGAGTTTTGGCGCTTGTCGTGGGCGAGGGTGCGTCCTGCGTCCTCTCCTTCCCCTCCTCGTCGGGTCACTGGAGCGAGTCATTGACGCTCGGACCTGGACCTCGCAGTGGAACTACAAGCGTGGCTTCCCGTACATCCCGCCGACTTTCCGAGCGCCGACGCCCGTCATCGCCTTCCAGTCGGTCCTCATCCCGGGCGCCTTCATGTCGGGCTTCCTCCTGTCGCCGCTCCTCGTCGTCTCGCGCCACATTGCCTCGCGCCCGTCGCACCGCCTCAAGTGGCCCACCGAGCGCGAGCGGCACCGCAAGCTCCTCGCGCTCGGCGTCGCCGTCGGCCTCGCCGCCATCGTGTGTGTCCCGCTCGGCGGCTGGGCCGGCTGGATGCTCGGCGCGTCGCCGCCCTCGTTCGCGCGCCGACTCCGTCGCCCCTGGGGCTGGGCACTGCGCTTCTTTGCGTTCGGCGACAGCGACGGCGTCGCCGACTGGCAGCAGCCCGCCGCGCTCCACCCGCCCGGCTGGTCCTTGTTCTCGGCCAAGCGCACGTCGCGCGGCTGGAGGAGGATCGCCCTCGTCGCCTACTGGGGCACGACCATCTCGTCGGCCATCGGCGGGTGGCAGACGCACCTCGTGCGCAAGCGCCGCATCCGCACGCGCGCGAGCCCGGCGCAGCACCACCACCACCACCACAAGCCGTCGCCCGGGCACTCGCCGACGACGTCGTCGTTTGCCTTGTCCGGGGCCGCAGGCGGTCCGGGCGGCGCAGCGGGCGAGGGCTCGACGGCGGCGGCGGCGGCGGCGCAGGGCGAGGGAGCAGTGCGCTCGACGGGGAGCGCCGCAGCTGCCGCAGCGGGCAAGCGCCTCCTCGGCTTCGGCATGGACGCGATGCACGGCGCGGCGCGCATGAGCGCCGCTGCGGGCGCGAGCGCCGGCGTCTCGATGCGCCGCTCGCCCGTCGGGCGGATCGGCGCCGAGAGCGCGCGCGAGGAAAAGGCCGTGCACGCGAGCCTCAACATGCGGCGCAAGTTCTTTCACGCGCTCGCCGTCCTCATGTTCGTCCCGGGCATCGCCGTCGACGTGCGTCATCCTCTCTCTCTCTCTCTCTATCCTCGTCCCTGCCGTCCTCGAGCCTGACTCTCTCTCTCTCCCTCTCCCTCTCGCAGCCCGCCTTTACGTCGCTCGCCTTCTCGGTCGCCTTCTCGCTCTTCACGTTCGCCGAGTACGCGCGCTACTTTGCCCTGTACCCGATCGGCGGGCCCCTGCACATCTTCTTCTCCGAGTTTGTCGACTCGAAGGACGGCGGCCCTGTCATCCTGAGCCACTTTTACCTCTTGACGGGCTGCGCCGGAGGCCTGTGGCTCGAGGGTCGCGGCATCAACCGCTACACGGGCGTGCTCGTCCTCGGCGTCGGCGACAGCCTCGTGCGTCCCTCCTTTCCCCCACCCCCTATCTTTCCTCCTCCTCGATCGTCTCGCGCGCCCACCGAGCCCTCACTGACTGATCCTCTCTCTGTGCGACGACAGGCCTCGATCGTCGGCAAGCTCGTCGGGCGCACGCGCTGGCCGGGCACGACCAAGACGCTCGAGGGCACGGCCGCCTTCATCTCGTCGGTCGTCCTGTGCGGCTGGCTGCTGCGCCTCGTCGGCGTCGTCGAGCCCTTCTCGGTGCGTCTCTCCTCTCTCTCTCTCTCTCTCTTCCACGGCGTCCCGATCGAGCGGACCTGACCGTGCACGCTCCCCCTGGCGCTCCCGCAGCTCCCTCGCTACATCCTCGGCGTCACGCTCGCCGCCCTCCTCGAGGCAGCGTCGGCGCAGAACGACAACCTCGTCATCCCGCTGTATCTGTGGAGCGTCCTGTCGCTCTTGTCTGTGTAGCACGGGGAGGACGACGTGTCGGCGCCTGCCGGTAGCAACATAGATCTCGCTTTCCTGACTCTCGTGGAGCGTGCCAGGGTCGAGAGAGAGGACCGAGAAGGACTCGAGTTGCACATGGACGGACTTGACGAGCTCGGGAACGTGGTACACAGAGAGCAGGCGGCGAGCGAGCTACTTGACAAAGCGGTCCATGTTGTTCTTCCCTCCCTTCGCCTCGGCGGCGGCGTACGCCGGACGCGCCATGATGGCCTCGTGCCACCTCGTCAGGTTCGGGTACCGGCTCACGTCGAGCGGCGTGGCGGCGAGGCCCTCGGCGATGAACGACATCATGACTGCGCGCGAGCGGGCGACGGTCAGTCTGGGCGAGAGAGGAGAAGGAGAGAGAGAGAGAGAGGACGCACCGTCCGCGCCGGTGAGCCTGTTGCCGACAAAGTACTCCTTGCCCTCAAGGCTCGCCTCGACGTGCTTGAACATGGCCTTGAGGCGCGGGAGGCCAAACTGGCTCATGGCCGCGCCCGTCACGAGGTTGACGATCGGGCGTGCGACCCAGGGGGCCTGGAGGCCGATCTGGGTGAACACGAGCGAGAACATGAGCGGGCCCATGGCCGAGCCCTCGGCGTAATGCAGCCAGTAGAGGTACTCGGCGCGCTCCTGCGGGTCGGACGACGAAGCCGATAGGCCGAGGCGCTCGCCGTAGCGCTCGATGATGAACTCGGTGATGGCGCCCGACTCGGCGAGCGTGAAGGTCTTGCCGTTGTCGGTGATGGTGACGACGGGAGACTGCGAGGGGAGGAAAGGGGCTGCGGGTGAGCCTCTCGAGCGCGACTCGTTGTCGGGGTCGTTGGTAGCTCACCTTGCCGGTGGGGTGAACGTCGTAGAGCTCGGGCGGCGCAAGGTTGGTCTTGGTGTCGCGAATGTAGCGCTTGACTGGTGGGCGGTCGTGAGGAGCGAGGAGCGAGGCGAGAGGGCGAGGAGGGAGGGAGGGGATGCGAGTCAGTCAACCTGCCGGCGTCGACTCGAGGGAGAACAGGCACTGCTCACCCTCGTACGTGAGGCCGAGCTGCGCGCAGAGAAAGGACGTGAGCCGGTTGTTGGCCGAGAGTGGGGAGAAGGAGAAGGAGGGGCGCACCTCCTCGAGGAGCCACAGGATGCGCTGAGCGCGCGAGTCGTCGAGCCTGTGTGCACTCTCGCGTCAGTACACTGCGCACCGAGTGCGGCTGGACGAGTGAGAGCGGGCGCACCAGTGAACGACGATCTTCGGGGCGGCCATTTCGTCACGAGCGGTCGAGGGCGAGGCGAGGTGCGAAGAGACTTGGTCGAGGCGGTCTTGGGCGGGAATGCTGGGCAGCGGGCTTGCGAGCGGGTGCAAGAGCGAGGAGGGGAGGGAGGAGGAGAGCAAGCTCCGGTGAAGGACGTTGCCGGGGCTTGCGCACACGGCCTCGAGGCCGACGTCTCGCGATTTTAGTTATCAGACGGCTCTTTCGCGCATAGAGTGCGTCCGAACGAGCGCTGTAGAAATGCAACACGACCAGGGGAACAGACTACTGCGAGGGGAGGGGGGAATCTAGGGGAGGGAGCTGCGCGAGACGAGGAGGTCACCACGGGTTCTGCGCCGCCAACGTCGACGAGCTCGCGTTCCCTCCAGAGCCCCACACCGACGCGCCTCCTGACTCGTCGAACGACGTCGCGTGCGTCGGCGTGCGGTCGACGGCGCCATCGTGGTCGAACCCGTTGGCGCCGGCGAAGGTGAACGAGGGAGTGTCGGCGGTCGCGGTGCCGAACGAGGGGAGCGACGGGAACGAGAAGGACGACGTCGCGGCGTAGTGGTCGTCGGGCAAGGTGACGCTCGACGCGCCCCAGCCGGTCTCGGCGGGCGGCGCGATGCTGGACGGGTCGACCGAGGCGGCGTCACCGTTCCACTGTCGGCGCAGGAGCTCGTGCGGGTCGAGCGACTGGTCGAGCTGGGTGAGGTCGGCCTGCGGCGGCTCGATGGATGGAGGAGCTGAGGGTGCACGGGCGCTGTCGGCCGTCGACGAGGCGGACGAGGCGGCGCCGGCAGGAGCAGGAGGGTGGGGGAACTCGTCGTCGGGCGGGCTTGCGGCCCGCTCGTGTACGGGCTTGGACAGTTGTGCGACCTCGGCGCGCAGCTTGTCGATGTTGAACACTGTCGGGTCGTTCTCCTCCGCTGCTGGAGCCGCCGCCGCCGCCGCCGCCCGGACCGGCGTCGCAGGCTTCTTGCTCGCCTCGACCGACCTGCGCCTCGCCGCCGCCTCGTCCTCGTCGGCCTCGGACCCAACGCGCGACCTCGCGAGCGACAGGCTCGACGAGCTGCGGCCGCCCGTGGTCGAGATGGCCGGGCTGCCCGACTTGGCGGCGAGCGAGGTCGTCGACGACGACGACAGCCGCGGCGGGCCGTCGTACTCCTCGTTGGACGTGGCGCGCGACATGGGCTGCGAGTCGGTCGCCTTCTTGCGGCGAAAGATGTTGAGGCCCTTGCGCTCCTTGCGCGCGCGGCGGGCCTCCTCCTCCTCCTTGGTGACGACCTCGCGCTCGGGCGCGTCCGGGTCCAGGTCGGGCTCGTCAAAGTGGTCGCCCGTCGTCTTGAACCCGACGTAGGCGAGGAGCTTGGGCATGCGGGGCCGGTAGCTCAGGTGGCCGTCGAGGAGGTGCGTCACGTCGACGTTCTCGAGGTCCGGCACGAGCTCGATCGGGCGCAGGCCGGCGACCGTCTGCAGGCCGCCCGTCGTCGCGCGAAACAGGTACCCGAGCACCCAGTCGTTCATGGCGAACCCGTTGACGAACCGGCCCGAGACGACGCCTCGCACCTCGCGCCACACCTTGCGCGACGCCGTCACGGTCGCGCCGAACAGGTACACCTCCTGCACGACGCCGAACGCCTTGCGCTTGGCGAGCTCGACGAGGGCGAAGAAGATGACGCGGGCGCCGAGCGAGAACCCGACGAGCGAGACGGGCCGGACGCCGAGTCGGCGGTTGAGGAGGATGTCGGCGAGGATGGCGCCGGCCTGGACGGCACGGTCGAGCGCGTTCGACCACGGGTTGTCGATCAGGTACGAGAGCTTGGTGAGCACTGTGGGAGGACGAGGGTCAGGTTGGACTCGATCGGGGACAAGGCGGGCAGAGGACGGCAGGGACGCACTCATGGGCCACTGGAGCGCGCTCATGAGGGCCGTCATGACGGTGGCGGCGAGCACTTGCTGACCGGCCTGGGTGAGGACCTCGGACGTGAGGATGTTGAGCGCTCGGCCCGTGTCGCCCATCATGTCGGGCTCCCACAGGACCGACAGGACGTCGCCCATGACCGGGTCGATCGTGCTGAACGGGAGGCGCACGTCGTCGCGGATGCCATTCATGAACCTGTCGACGTCGGGGAGGGCCAGAGCGTGAGTTCGTCGACCTCGAGGCGCCGCGGCAGAGAGAGAGAGCGCGAGAGGCGGACGCACCCAGAGACGGTGAGGAACACGTTGAGGCGCTTGTTGTTGTGCACGGGCAGGATGTCGAACGTCTGGACGTGCTTGGTGCGCTTGGCCATCGCCTTGCCGCCGATTGTCGCGCCCGTGAGCGTCGCGCCGGACGAGATGATGGCCGCGCCGCCGGCGCCGGCGAGGAAGCCCGACGTGCCCGACACGCCGACGGTCGCGAGTGCTGCGCCGAGCCCGGCGCCGATGAACGGGGCGAGGAGGCCCGCCGAGAGGCCAATGACGAGGCCGCCGCCGACGGTCGCGGCGCCCATGAGGAGCAGGCGCTTCTGCTTGTCCTTTAGGCGTCGACCCTCGAGGACCTCGTCGTGCTTCTTGTCCTTGACGGCCTCCTGGATCTCGAGCGCCTCGGTGAGGCGGCGCTCGAAGCGCACGACGTCCATCCAGTCGAGGCCGAGCTTCTCGGCCATGCACCCGAGGAGCACGCGCGAGCGCGCATCGTACACCGAGTCGGCGATGAGGGCGAGGAACAGGTCGCACAGGATCGTCCACCGGATGTCGAGCGTGACGGTCTTGTCGAGGCTCGTGAGCGTCTTGGACACGCCCGGGAGCGACGAGGGGAGCGGGTCGAGGAAGTTGTTGGGCTGGCGAGTCTCGGGTGCGGCGTCGTCGTAGGCGGGAGGGGCTGGGGAGGACGCTCGAGGCGTGGGTGGCTCCGAGTCGGAATCGGATAGAGGAGGCGAGGGAGTGGAAGGAGGAGCGTCGGCGTCGGGGAGGGGAGAGGGGTAGTCCGGATGGGGCGACTTGGGCGAGTCGGCGAGGGAGGTGGAGGAGGGCGAGTCGAGGGCGCCGCCGATGTCGCCGCCGTCGTCGTCGATGAGCGCGTCAAACATGCTGCGCCCACGCCTGGTCGGCGTTCTGGGCGACGAGGGCGACGCCGCGGTCGCCGTCGTGGGCGACCGAGGCGACGTCGGCGGCGACACGACCTCGCTCGCTCGCCGCTCGATCTCGCGCACCTGCCGCCGCACGTAACCCAGATCCCGCCCCTCGTCCTCGCCCTCGTCCTCGCCGGGCGCGAGCGCCATGTCGCCCAACCGGTCCTCGAGGTCCTGCGCGTCGGCTCCTGCCGCGAGCTTGACGTCCTCGTCTGCCCGCTCCCGCACTTCTCGCTCGCGCCGCGCCTGCTCTGCTCCGGCCCGTCGCGACTGCTCCTCCCGCTCGCGCTGACGCGCCGCATCGACCTCGGGCCGGTCGTCGTCCAACTCGAGCGCGATGTCGCCCTCGTGCGCGGCGAGCTCGGCGGCCTCGGGGTCGTACTCGGGGTTGTCGATCGTGTAGGTGGCGACGAGGGACGGGACGAGGTCCTCCGAGGTGACGCCGTGCTCGGCGAGCTGCTCTATCATGCGCTGTTCTGCGAGAGCGAGGGGGGGCAAGAGCGAGGTTAGTCGAGCGCGCTCGAGGAACCGAGGGGCACTGAGAGTGGACGCACCTGCGCTGTCGACCTCCATGTGGCGGTACAGGCGGCCCATGATCTTGTTGGCCCAGTTCTGGCAGCTCTCGCGCGCCGGCTCGAGCTCCTTGGCGCCTTTGGCGGCGAGCGCGAGCCCTTGGACCATCTCGCGCGCGACGAGGCGACACAGGCCGACGTAGGCGATGCGCTGGCCCTCGGTGAGGAGCGTCTTGGTCTGCTGCATCTGCGAGAGCGGCGTCATGCTCGTGTCCTCGTTGAACAGGTACTGCGTGCGCATCGAGATCTCGTCCTCGTCCGGGTCGTCGTCGAGCTCGAGGCGCGTGTAGTCCATCTCGTCCATGCCGCCCTTCTCGCGCAGGCCGGCTGTCGCGCCCTCCTCGTCGGCGTCGACGACTCGGCCGGTCGCGTTACCCGTCGTCGCGGCGCCGGCCATGGTCGCGTAGCCCGACGAGGCCGAGGCGGCATCGGGCGCGTCGGGTAGTCGTGCGGGTGCGCGCCCGGTGCGCCGCGTCGTGCGCTTGTGGGCGGCGGCTGCGGTGGTGGTGGTGCCGGGTGCGGCGTCGTCGTCGTCGGCATCGACTGCGTCGGCGTCGAAGAGCGACTTGGGCGCCTCGAGCTCGGCCGAGCGCAGGACGGGCATGTCCTGCCAGCCCTCGTCCCAGATGTCGGACGACATTGCGCCTGGCTGCGAGCGGGAACGAGAGCGCAGGTCAGCACACGATGAGGCTCGGGGTCCGGGTCGACGCGACACGGTGGCACAGGAGAGAGAGAGAGAGGGTGCGCACCTGGACGTGTCTGTCCACGTTGTAGGTGAGCCCACTGGGCGGCGTGCGCCTCCTCGAGTCGCAGGCGAGACGAGGCGCGTCGGGCTGGTGGGGAGGGTCGAGACGAGGCGCCGGTCGTGCGAGCAGTCGCGCGAGGACAGGCGGCTCAGGGCGAGCGCACTAGAAGCGGCGTCGAGTGCGTCGGCTGGTCGCTGGAGAAGACCGCTCGGCGTGGTGAGGTGGACAAGGCTCGCCCCTCGCAGCGAGTCCTCGTCGTCGACCAGCTGTCCCTCTCGCGCTTCACTTCGATCTGGCCCTCTGCTGCCAGCGCTTACGCGGGACTCGTCTGCAGGCTTGTCGGCCGAGTTCACCTGCTCAGAGCTCGCTCGGCTCTCTCGCGGCGGCCGACGCTCGTCCGGTGCTCACGAGCGGGCCAGTCTTGCTCAGTCTCTGACTTGCAGCTCAGTCCAGCTCGTACACGACGGTCAAGCTCCCTCCCCCAGGCGGACCCTGCCCCTCGCCTCCACCGCTCACGTACACCGCCGTGTCGCCGACCAAGCCCGCGACGAGCCCACCGACCGCCGCACGCGCATGCCGCGTCGAGTGCACGTCCGAGTCGGTGCTCATCGTGTGGCGCTTGCCCTGCACGAGGCCCGAGGGCGACGCCTCGGCCTTGACAAAGACTTGGAGGACGCGGCCGCCCTGAGCGCGGATCGGGTCGAGAATGGCGAGGAGCGCTCGAGCGTCGACTGCGAGGCGAGGCGAGGTCAGCTCACTGCTCTTCTGCTGCCTCGTCCTGCACTCCTCGGTCTCGAATGGGAGAAAAGGGCTCACTGGCGTCCTTCATGAACCCGGACGCGATCCCGAGCCGCTTCCTGCCCTGCTCAGGCTCGACCGCCCTCTTCTCCTCCGCCAAGAGCAGGATGTGACAGTCGTCGAGCTCTGCGCCGCTGCTGCAGCTCGCCTTGGCGCTCCACCGCTCGCCGCCGCTGCTCAAGCCCTCGGCGACGCTGCTCTCGGACCCGTCCATCTCGCCGAGCGCGACGGCAATCCCGAGCGCGGTCGCGTATCGCGACGAGCCCATCGAGCTGTACGTGTCGGACGTGATCGGCTCGAGGCCTTTTGCCCGGATGGCCGAGATCTTGGAGCTCGTGAGGAGCGGGCACTTGACGAGGATGAGGTGGACGTCGGACGGGGCGAGCTTGGCGTCGGCTGTTGCGGTGGCTCGACTTGTCAATACGACGCTGCCGTAGAGAGGCGGTCCTGGCACTCACCCATCATGCTCTTGATCGTCTTCTCGACCTGCTGAACGTGCACGGGCGACCCAACCTCCTCCGGCTCGAGCTTCCTCGTCCTGCCCGCCATCGCGACGACACCAGTCGGCGCCCCACCCTTCTCCTTGACGATGAGCGTGACGTGCGGGTTCAGCACGCCCTCGGTGCCGCCAGAGAAGACGGCGATGCTCGACGGAGGGATCCGAGGGTGCCAGACGGCGGCCGACAGTGTGCGCGAGAAGCTGTGGGGAGGCAATCAGGGTCAGAGCGTGTGCCGAGAGCTGGAGAGAAGCTGTGCACGCACTCGTTGACGCAGCCGTTGCCCTCGCTCTTGCCGACGACGGCCATGATGTCGTCCGCGCCGAAGCCCTCCTCGTCGCGCAGGCGCTCCAGCGCTGTCGTGTCGTCAGGGCCAGACGTCGAGTACTTGAACAGGCGAACAGGATAGGCCATGTTTCGCAGAGCTCGAGCGTGTGAGGCGAGGAGGGAGAGCGAAAGAGAGCCGGGCGCGAGCGACGGCCGGGGGGGCGGTGGCTCGGCCGACGGCCGCGCGTGAGTCCGGAGAAGGCGGGGCAAGATAAGGTGCGTTCGCTCGAGCGCGCGCACGAGAGTAGAAGCGCCGACGAGTTGCAGCAGGCTCAGGTCGTCGGCGAGAACGGAGCGCTCGAGCCTCCTCGCGCCGACCGCGAGGTCAGAACGACGAGCGCTTCGACGGGTTCGCTCGCGACGCTTCCGTGTGACCGGCGAGCTCGCTGGACCGTCCGTCACAGCGTGTCAGCAGAGCTCGAGCACAGCGCAGCCAAGGTCTGAATCAGGGTCGAGCACGCCGCTGCAGTGAGGGGATCGTGCGCAGGACGCAAGGTGCACGTCCGCTGCGTACCGCCTGGAGCTGCGACCGTACGCTTAGCGCGTCGTCAGGCTTCGCGAGCCTGCTCTCCTCTGTCTCGCCTGCATGCCTGAGCGCTGCGCGGGTGCGAGGCGCAATGTGCCGGGTGACGGTCGGGACGACGAGGCGGGTCCAGGGGACAATCGGAGCCCGCGACGAGAGCGACTTGGCACAGCTCTGTTCGATGGGCTCCTCGCGCTTGTGCGGACACCTGAACATCGCTTGCGAGAGGTGCGCGAGGAGGAGGAGGAACGAGATTATGAGCGGGACTGCCGCCGTCAACTGCGTTCGAAGCCATGCTTCGCCGTGGTGCTTTCCCGAGCGGGCGACGAGGACGGGGACAAGCAGGCACCACGGGCGATAGAAAGCTTGCAGAGCTCGCACGCAGCCGTGCGATCGCGCGATAGCGCGCTCCAAGCACTCCCTGCTCCCGGTACCGAGCGGCTCGAGGAGCGCTTCGCAACCCAGGCCTGCTTCCCCCCCACTTGTGTGCCGGTACGCCGCTCGTCGCCACCCGCTCGTCGACGACAGCTCCCTCCCTCACCCACTCGCTGCGAGAGACGACGCGTGCGCGACCACCGCCGGAGCAGCTGCGCTCGATCCTCCACCCCACACGCGTGCTCGTCGACCTTCTCAAGTTCGCCTTTCCCCACCGCGTCCTCGCTTCGCCCGACACGCGCCAACGTGCGTCCTTCTCTCTTCGATCTGTTCGTTCGCGCGCACACTCCTCGGAGGACCAGCGAGCGGGGATCGAGGTGGTCTCGGAGCCCGGCAGGCGCTCAGTTCTCGAGCCGACGGACAAGAGGACGGACGGCTCACCCACCTCCTCGGCGGCCTCGTCTGGAGAGTGCGGAGCCCTCTCGACGGGCGCGTCGAGCGTCCAGAGGAGCAGCGCTAAGTGGGAGCGAGACGAGCAGCGCGACTGACAACTTTGCCCGCCCGTTCTCTTCGTCTCTTCCTCCTCGAACGACAGCGCGCCAAGCTCGATCGAGCGACGCGCTTTTGCCTTCCGCGCAGAACCCGGTGCTCCCCCCTCAATCAGCAAGGTCCGCGGCGAGTCCGAGGAGAAGCTCCGCACACCGAGCCGCGTTCGCCGCACGCCGGCAAAGGGGCGACGTCCTCTCTCCTCTCTCCTCTCTCCTCCTCCTCCTCTCGTCAGCCTCGGTGTTACCTCGCCCCACCTGGAGCCTCCGCAAGTTCCTCGCACCACGTGGTGCCGCCTCCAGCTGCACCTCGCCTGTTGGTGCCGGACGTCGCCCTCGAGTCGCGCCGTGGTTCGGTGATCCTCCTCGTCCGTCCCCTCTCATCTCTCGCCTGCCAGCATCATGCATGTGATGACATGCTCTATTTCCTCACAGCTTCAGCCTCTGCCGCAATGCAAGTCGACCAGAGCGCGCCAGTCGCCGCCGTCGAGCCCCCTCCTCCTCACTCGACGACCGCCCACCGCCCCCACACCGTCTCGTACGCGTTCCCGGGTCCATCAGCGCCAACCACCGCCTCGCAAGCGTACCACACGGCCCAGTACACGCCACGCGATGCCGACTCGTCTCCTCGAGCCGGCGACTTCCTCGTCTCGCGGCACGGCCACGGCAACTTCTCGTTCGCGCCGCGCCCGCCCGCTCGCCAGCCACCGCACGACTCGCATCACGCCCACGTCGACCACTACTACGTCGACGATGGCCGCCCTCGTCATGCGCTCGAAGCGCAGCCCCGCTCGATGGCGCTCGCCGCCTCGCCCGGCTTCGTGCCGCCGCCGTCGTCCTCGGCCCGCGTCTCGTCGCCCGCCCTGTCGGGCAGCGCACACGCCTACTCGCAGCCGAGCTACGGGCAGCAGTACGAGCGGGCGGCACAGGGTGGACACGCCGCAGTGAGCGGGCCCATGCAGCGCGTCGTCTCGACGATCCAGTTCTTGGGCGGCGAGTACACGCCTCAGCGCGAGTACTCCGGCTCGCCGGCCGCAGAGCAGCCGCACGTCTACCAGGCGCCGAGCCAGAGGCCCACAAGCTCGCGCTCGGCTTACACCTTCGGCACGGCGTCGGGCCCGTCGACGCAGCCGCAGCGCAGCCAGGCGCAAGCGCACTACCCTGCCGCCGCCTCGGGTCCCGCCCTCGACTGGGCCAAGCCGCGCAGCGGCGGCATGACGGCGCCGGCCCCAGGGCAGCAGCACCAGGCCGTGCCGGGCCACAGCTTCGCGCCGGCGCCGGGTCCGTCGCGCGCGCAGCTCCCGCCGCCGCCGCCGCCGCCGCACCTGTCGTCGTCGATGCGGTACCACCACGGCCACGCCGTCTACTACTCGTCGTCGTCGTACGACCCGGCCGAGCACATGCTCCGCACCCAGTCGAACGAGTCGGCCATGACGGCCTACTCGACGTCGACCGAGTCGTCGTACGCGTCGACGGGCGGACCCTCGTCGAGCCACGACCACCAGCGGTTCGTCCACCCGGCGCTCGCTCGAGCGAGCGGCGCCGACAGCGGCTACTACGGCTCGCCGTTCATGAGCCGCTCGAGCGAGTTCGCCCGTTCGACGAGCTCGAGCGACGCCGGCGGCGGCCTCTCGGGCCTGCGCATCGCCGGTGCGCTGCGTGCGTCGCAAGGTGGGCCCGGACTGGCGGGCGACCTCGACGACGAGCTCCTGCGGGCGTCGATGGGTCGAGGCGGTCCGAGCGGGCCCAAGGCGCCCAAGCGCCGCGCTGCGCCCGACATCTTCCACCCGCCGCCGCAGGCCATGCTTGCCCCTGGAGCCTACTCGCCCTCGGGCAGCGCCATCGGCGCTCGTCGCGGCTCGCCTTACTCGCCCTCGTACGCGGCGAGCCTCCCGACCGACGCCGAGTTCGCCGCCCTCCCGACCAAGCGCTCGCGCGGCCGTCGCCCACCGGTCCAGTCGGACCTCGTCGTCGAGATCGAGGACGACGACGACTACTCGGTCTCGTTCGAGCCGTCCGAGGCGCAGATTGCGTGGGCCGGCCTCACCAAGACGGGCAAGCTCCGCAAGATCTTCCTCTGCAAGGTGCCCGGCTGCGGCAAGTGCTTCAAGCGCAGCGAACACCTCAAGCGGCACGTGCGCTCGATCCACACGAACGAGCGGCCATTCCAGTGCCAGTGGCCGACGTGCAAGCGCCTCTTCTCCCGCCACGACAACCTCAACCAGCACGTGCGTCCTCTCTCTCTCTCCCTCCCTCGACGTGTCCTCGCGGGCAAAAAATTGACTCTAGCTCTCCCCGTCGCCCTCGTCTACAGCTGCGCACCCACCGCGAGCCCGGCATGTCGGACGCCGACTTCTCGACCGCGCTCGAGCTTTACTTCGGCAACCGCCTCGCCGAGGTCGAGCGCGAGCACTCGTGGTGCTCGAAGGGCGAGTCGGCCGTGGCGCGCAAGAAGCGCGTTCAGCGCGAGGCCCTCGGCGAGATCGAGCCTGCAGCGGGACCTCGCGAGGGCGGCAGCGGCGAGGGCGACGCAGGGCCGCGCCGCGTCGAGCAGCAGCCGCTCGTCATGGTCGACCACGAGCGCGTGTTCGCCGAAGGCGGCGAGCGCGAGGAGGGCGAGTACCGCCTCGGCGACGACGACGACCAGGACGGGCTCGGCGCGACGCTCGTCGAGGGCGAGGTCTCGCCGACCGGCTTTGACGGCGACGACAACGGCCCGTGGGCCGCCCGTCGCACGTCGCGCTCGAGCGTGAGCGACGCTGGCGGCGGGCCCGGCGAGGCGCAGGTGCCGGAGCAGGCGCACGAGCCCGCGGGCCTCGAAGCCGAGATGCAGCGTGTCGCCGAGCCGCAGCCGGCGCCCATGCGTGTCCCGGCGCGGATGCTCGCCCTCATGCGCGAGCAGCCGCAGCAGGACGGGCGCTGAGGCGCGCTCGTCGTCGTCGTCGAGCGACCTCGCCGCTTTCGAGCCTTCCCTCCTCCGTGCTTTCCTCCACTTCCCTCCCCTCGCCTCGCACGCCCTCGACGCCTTCGTGCCCTCCCTACCCGCTTACAACCCTCCTTGCCTTCCTTGCGTACCCCCGTCGTGCCCTCCCTCAGGCGCCGTCAGTCGGCGCCTTCCCCTCCCTCTGCAACTCGCGAGCTGGCGCAAGTACACCTCGAGCTTTAACGACTTCTCGGCGCTACAGTCTCGATGAGAGAACGAGATGCAACCGAGAGAGAGAGGCCCAGAGAGAGCGCGAGAAAGAACGAGAAGTAGGCAGCGCGAGGAGGAGAACGACGCGCTCGACGCGACCAGATGAGCGTGATTGACCGAGCCGATCGTGGCGCAGCTTGTGCGGGCCCGTCGAAGCGACATGTCGAGCGAGGTTTCGAGAGCGCAGGCACGCTCCAGGGTGGCTCGGACACTGCTCCTGTACGAGCGGGCCCCTGTCGAGCGGGAGGAACGCTCGAGGAACTTGGGCCCGACCGCATGCTCGTCGAGCTCGAGTGAGAGGAGAACGAGAGGCAGGAACGGGACGAGGGTTGCAGGGGCATAGTACAAGCACCAGGGAAGCTATCGACGAGGGGGAGGGGGCGCGCTGGGGGGCGTAGGACGAGGGGATGCGAGGGCGGGGGGAGAACACAACGAGGGAGAGAGGGAGGGAGGGCAAAGAGGAGGCAGAGAGGTGCACAGGGACGAGGGGTTGGGGTGCTAGCTGCAAGGCGAGGGGTATGAACAGGACAAAGATAGGGGCATGCAGGAAAAAGTAAGGAAGGCGGGTTCAGTCGTCGAGGACGAGGACCTCGACCTCCTTGCTCGACTTGGCGGCGGCGGCGGCGGGCACCTTGCGGACCGGGGTCGCGTAGCGCTGCGTCCACTCTTTGGCCGTCTTGTCGTGCTCCTTGCGGTTCTTGAGGTACCTTTGCGCAATGTCGGGCATGAGCGGGTCGTGCGGGTTCGGGTCGGCGAGGAGCGACGCGACCGAGAGGAGGACCTTGACAATCGAGCTGTGTGGCGTGTACGAGGGTGCAGGGTTAAGGTCTTGAATCTGTGTGCACGAGTGAGGGAGAGGCGAGGCGTACAGCGCGGGCGACCACTGGTTCTTGAGGATGTCGACTGCGGGCGCGGCGAGCGAGTTGGTCAGGTCCTGGGGCCGACGGGCGCGAGTGTGGCACGAGGCGGGACGCACGGCAGATGCCGCCCTGGTTGTTCACGTTGGCGTGGTAGATCTTGGTCGTGAAGACGACCTTGGGCGGGCGGAACGGGTAGCTGGGGGACGAGGAGGGGTGGGAAGAGGGGTCAGCTCGAGTTGCCGCGCCATGGTCGCCCGTGTCCGTGCTAGAGGACTCGAACGATGCAGAGAGGGCGGACGCACTCGTGAGGGAGCGTGATGTGCAGGTTGAACACGCCGCCGTCATACGGCGAGTCGGGCGGTCCTTCTGCGAGGCAAGGGCAAGCCGAGTCAGCCTCGCTCCCGCGCACGCCCAGGTCCGAGGCAGAGAGAAAGGAGAGCAGCTCACCGATGCTCGCAGCCCACTCGTAGACGTTGTCGTCCGAGACGAGGCCGGCCTCGCACCCTTGCGGGAGCGCCTCCTTCTTGAGGTCGGTGAGCTCCTTTGCGATCCGCTTCGAGCTCATCGAGGCGGCGGACTTGGGCGGCATGCTGGGCGGGCGGGGTCTGGACGGTGCCGAGGGGGCGAGCTGGCGCGAGGAGAGAGGCGGAGGGAGATGAGGAGGCGAGGGTGGCGCAGAGGATCGGACGAGCGAGAGTGGGTGCGCGCAGGTGGGTCGAGTGGAGGAGTTGCTGGCTGGCAGGTCCCCGGTGTTGCTCGGCGTCGGTAGCTGTCGTCGTGGCTGGACGAGAACCGCAGCGCCTCACTCAGCCGCTCGTCGTCGTCGCTCTCTCGGCTCAGCATACGCTCGTCTCGCTCAAGCGGGCTGAAGCAGTGATGGACGCAGGCTTGACGCTTGCCGCTCCCCTTCTCGGGGCACGCCCAACCAGCTCGAGCGACGTTTCCTACTCGCGCTCCCCACTCCGAGTCGGCACCGCGGCATCCGCCGCTGCTTGCTCGAGGCTCGACTCGCTCTCTGCTTCTCTCGAACCGCTGCAAGGACGACATGGTTGCAAGGTGCGCGAGTGGCGCAGACAGGGCGAGGAAAGGGAGGCGAGGCCAGAACGAGGAAGGGGAACATGCGTAGGGCGAGGCAAGCGGGAGGGGGAGGGGGGAAGTACATCACGGACTGCGAGGGTAAGGACAGAGGGGCACTGCGCAAAGAGAGAGGGACGAGAATGCGGGCGGCTGTACATGAAGCTGAGGACCGAGGCCGGGGTCGAGGTCGGACACGGCGAGGGACGAGAAGGACGGGAGGCGAGGCGGGGCGAGTAAGGAGGGAGGCGACGACGGCGCCTAGTCGTCCTCCTCGGCGTCGCCCTTGCCGTCCGACACGTCCGTGATGCCCTGCGCCGTGATCTGGAACTTGGCGTCCGCCTCGGGCATGGACGGCGAGTCGACGATGCGCGCAATGCGCTCGGGGCCGCGACCTTTGCGCATCGAGACGCTGCGGACAGACGCAACGACAGAGAGTCAGTCGCGAGAAGGTGCGCAGAGAGACAGAGAGAGAGGGAGCAGAGGGACGCACCGGGTCGTGCTCGCGTGCGCCATGATGTTGCCGCCGATCGGCTTGCGCGTGTCGTTCGACGCGCCCGGCGCATTGTCGACGCTCGCGACGACCTGGTTCGTGACGACGACGGCGACGCCAAACTCGTCGGCGAGGCGCAGCAGGCTGCGCAGGAACTTGGCGAGGTGCATCTGGCGCGCCGACAGCTCGCCGCGGCCCGAGTAGTCGGTGCGGTACAGCGACGTGACCGAGTCGACGATGATGAGCGAGAAGCTGCGACGCAGGCGAGAGGCAGGTCAGGAGCGCGTTCGGGGGAGGCGGCGCGAGGCGAGGAGGCTAGAGTCGACGGACCGCGACTCGGACATCATGGCGCCCGCCATGACAAGGAGGTTCGACTGGTGGTCGGCGTTGTAGGCGCGCGCGTACGCGACGTTGTCGAGGACGTCCTCGCCGTTCATGCCGTAGCGCTCGGCGATGGCGAGCAGGCGCTCGGGACGGAACGTGCCCTCGGTGTCGATGTACAGGCACTTGCCCTCGCCGCCCTTGAGGTCGCACGGCAGCTGCGGGTTGGGAGACAAGCGGGTTAATCGGACGTCCTGCCGACGCGTCGATGCGTGAAGAAGAGAGAGGCGGGCGCACCTGGCAGGTGACGGCGAGCTGGTGGCAGATCTGACTCTTGCCCGTGCGGAACTCGCCGTACAACTCGGTGATCGAGCCCGTCTCGATGCCGCCTGCGACAGGGTGTCGAGCGTCAGTACTCGGCGGCTCGAGAGACTGGAGGGAGGACGAGGAGCGGGACGCACCGCCGAGGATGTTGTCGAGAGCGTTCGAGCCGGTCGTGAGGGTGACGAGCTCGGCGCGGCGGGCGTGGCTGCGGTACGAGGGCTCGTCAGAGACTGGCGAGTACGTAGGTAGAGGAGCGAGACGCACTAGTCGGTCGCGGTCGTGAATCCCATCGGGATCTGCTTGGCGGCTGCGAGACGAGGCGAGGCGAGGCGAGTTAGCTCGCTGTCGCCCCGGCACCAGTGAGAGGCGGACTGCCGGACGCACCGAAAGCGAGGATCTTGTCCGCCTTGCCCTCCGAGACCTTGGCCGTCGCGACGAGGACCTTCTTCGAGGTGTAGGCGACCGATTCGAGGGTGGCGTACCCGGCCTCGATGAGCTTCTGGCACTCCTTGGCCGTGAGACCGTTGCCCTGTGGCACCATGCAAGGGTCAGCTGCTGGTCTATGCGCCTCGCCCTGGGGTGTGGGCGGGCCAGCGGCGACACCAAACAAGGCCGAGGGGGCGGGGGCGCACCTGGAGCACGTTGACCGACTGCGGGAGCATGCGCTCGGCGACAAAGTCCTCCACCTGCGACTGCTGCGACTGCTGCGACATGTCCGGCGCGGCTGGAGGGTGTGGGCGATGGTCGAGGGGAGCGTGGGAGGACGTCGGAGGACGACGAGACGCGTTGACCCGCCCGCGAGGCGCGTCTCGGGCGAAGTCATCGCTCGGCCCCTCGCTCGAGACTGACATCGCTCACAGCGCTCGCCACAGCTCGGCAGCAGCGCCAGGACCGCTTTTCTCGAGTCGGCCGCTCCCTTCTCTTCGGGCGCAGCCGCTCACGTGCTGCCTTGGACGCTCTCGGGCCGCTCTCGCTCGCCGTCGAGCCCGAAAGCACGGCACAAAGACACTGCACTGCAAAGCTTGCTCCTCGCTCGTCGACCTCAGACCCGCTCGAGGAGGAGCGTCGTCGCCTGCCCGCCGCCGATGCACGCCGAGCCGATCGCGTACCGCTTCTGCAGGCGGTGTAGCGTGTGCACGAGGTTGGCCGTGATGCGCGCGCCAGATGCCGCGAGCGGGTGGCCGAGAGCTGCACGACGGGGGACGCTGCTGGTCAGTCCAGGCGCCGACAGCAGAGGGGCATCTGTGGGGGAGAGAGGACGGACCGATGGCGCCACCGTTGACGTTCGACTTCTCGTTGGGCAGGCCGAGCTCCTTCTGGACCGAGAGCCACTGGGCGGCGAACGCCTCGTTGATGTCGAACAGCTGCAGGTCGAGGCAGTCAGTCAGGATGCTGCGGCAGGGAAGAGAGAGGGTGAGGGACAGGGACGCACGTCAATGTCGTCGATGGTCAGGCCCGCCTTCTTGAGGACGCCGCGGATGCCCTCGACGGGGCCGATGCCTGCAGGGGCCGGATGTGAGCGAGGGACCGAGTCGAGAGACGAGGGAGAGGCGCCGACGCACCCATGATGGTCGGGTCGACGGCGTTGATGTGGTACGCGACGACCTTTGCGAGCGGCTTGAGGCCGTAGCGCTTGACGGCCTCCTCGCTCACGACGACGTTGGCCGCCGCACCGTCGCAGATGCCGCTCGCGTTGCCGGCCGAGACGGTGCCGTTCTTGGCAAAGACGGCGGGGAGCTTGCCGAGCTGCTCGAGCGTCGCCTGCGGGCGAGGGTGCTCGTCTTGCTTGAACGTGATGGGCTCGCCGCCGCGCTTCTTGGGCGGGAGCTGGACGGGCGTGATCTCGGCCTCGAACGCGCCGGCATCGAGGGCTGCAGGGAGAGGAGAGACTGAGTGAGCTGAACTGCCTCGAGAGTCGGCGGGTGCGAGGGGAGGCGAGGGAACGCACCCTTCTTCCACCGCTGCTGGCTCTGGAGCGCGTACTGGTCGCACTGCTCACGCGTGATGCCGTACTTGGTCGCGAGGTTCTCCGCCGTGCTGCGAGCGAGAGGGCAAGTCAGGTTCCTTCTCCTTCTCCGAGGCCACGGTCGCACTTGTCGACTCACATGCCCATCGGTCTGTGTGCGAGGAAGCAAGTCGTCAGTACTGTATCCCACTGAAGGAGAAAGGGGGACGACGCGGCGCACGTCGGGTTCGGAACGCGGTCGGTGAGGGCCTGCGCGAGCGAGTCCTCGAGCTTGAGGTCGACGCCGTACTTGTTGCCAAAGCGCGAGGCGCCAGACAGGTTGTCTATGTCGAGAGGCGACTGGTCAGCTGCGTTCGCCCATTCAAGGAGGAGGACGAGAGCAACAGCCAAGAGCGAGACGCACAGGGCGACAGCGACATGTTGTCGACGCCGCCGGTGAGGACGACGTGCGACTCGCCGAGCTTGATCTCCTGCGCCGCGTTGATAACCGCCTGGAAGCCGCTGCCGCACAGGCTGTGGACGAGGACCGGGGCATGTCAGCTCCCGCGCGAGCGAGAAGGGCGGGAAGGAGAGGAACAAGGGGGGCGGCGCACCGGTTGACGGTCAAGGCCGGGACGTCGTGCGGGACGCCCGAGAGGTGGCCGACATGCCTCGCGAGGTAGGCGGCCGACGGGTCCGAGTAGAGAACTTGGCTGTCGAGCAATCACGTCGAACCGCGCGAGGGAGGGAGCGGGAGGGAAGGGTGCGGCATCGTCAGTCTCGGCCTGCGACAGGACAGGCGAGAGGACAAGGGACGCACCCGAAGATGACAGAGTCGACCTTGGTGCCCTCGGGCAGCTCTGCGAGCGCCGCCTTGCCCGCGAAACCGCCGAGCTGTCGACGCGGAGAGTGGGGTGGGGGTGGGTCAGCGGCGTTCGAACGAGGCGGGGCTTGCAGCACGCTAGGCCCAGCGTAAGGCCCTCCTGCCAGCCCTATCCACCGCCCCTGTAGCGTCGCGCATCGCTCGAGGAACAGCTGACGCACCTGCGACGCCGTGTGGCTCTTGAGCGCTCCACCGAACGCGCCGAACGCCGTGCGCTTGCCAGCTGCGATGTAGACGGCCATGGTTGCTCTATGTCGGTAGGTGGAGAGCTGTGCGGGTCGTGCAGTGGTGGCTGAGAGAATGCCCGAGGAAGCGCTCGCGAGTCGCTCTCCTCCGCCGGCGCTCGGCAACTTCCCGAGCCGCGCATGTCGAGTGAGAAACTCGCCGTCGCATAACGGACGGTGAGGAGGGAATCTACAACAACAAAGGCAAGGCAGAGACGCTCTTGGCGGACCCAGATAAAACAAAAAACACGGTGAACGCGAGCGAGCCGCTCAGGCGCTCGCGCCGGTCCGCCTCGCCCACCTCGTCGCCAGCAAGCCGACCAGGGCCGTCGCGAGGGTGGCGCTGACGGCTGACAGGGCAAAGATCGGGCGGTAGCACCGCGTGCTCGTGCACGACGAGCCCTCGCCCGTGCCGTCGGTCGCGAGGTCGCGCAGAACGCCGAACAAGGGCGTAAAAACGAGGGCGCCGACGGCCGAGAACCACTGCAGGCGCGACAAGAACGGGTCAGCGAGGGCTCATTTGGGGTGACAAAGGTGCGAGAGGGTGGACGCACGGTCAAGAGCCCCCAGTTCCTCCCAAAGTCGGCCGGGCTCCATCGAGTGCGGACGAGCGCAGGCGTGAGCGTGAAGATGGTGCCGTACGCGACGGCCGTGACTGTGTGGGAGAGTATGTGTCGGTTGCGCTCGGCGCGAGAGACTGAGGAAGGAGAACCGAGAGCGAGACGCACCGAACGTGATGACCCACAGGCCCGCCGGCGTCGCCAAGCCCGTCGCGCCCCAGCCGTACGCCGCCGCGAGACCAACACACGCGACCGCGACAAAGACGAGGCGCACCTGGCGACGCCACGCCGGCTGGCGGTCCTTGTCCGGGCCGGCCGCCGCGAGGTAGTCGGACGCGCCGCCGACGACGAGGCGCCACAGCGTGTTGACGACCGAGATGACGGCGATGTGGCGCTTGCGCAGGGCGAGGGCGCTGATCGGCGCGGCGGCGTGGAGCGCGGGCGAGCGCGAGAGCGACGAGACGACTGAGCCGAGGCTGGCCATGTACATCTCGCAGGGCCCGGTCGCGAGGAGGACGACGGCGCCAAGGAGCCAGAACGACGAGCTCGAGACCAAGGCGCGCAGGGACCCGCTCGGCGTTGTGACGCTCGACGACGGGGCTGTCGAGGCGCCGAGGAGGGCCGTGCGCTCGGTCGGGACCTGGTCGGCGCCGACGGGCCGAGTGGCCGACGAGTCGAAGCCCGAGTCGGGCCCGTACTGGTCGACGCCGCACTCGTCGTCACCGTCGCCGAATGGCTCGACGACGTCGACGAAGGGCTTGTCGAGGTTCTCCTCCCACGGCAACTCCTGAATCAGGAAGCCGCCGACGAGGTTGACAAAGGTGAGGAGGACGCCGATGCAGGTGAGGTACTTGGCGACGTCGAGCATGTCGCGCCGACCGTCGACGCTGCTCGCCGTCGTGAAGAACGACGCGACGCTCGACAGGAAGAGGGGCGACAGGCCAAACACGGCGCACGGGACGCCGATGGCTGCGAACGCGGCGATGCTGTGTCAGAGACCGGGGCTGAATAGTCGCAGAGGAAGGAGGACGCACCGAGGCCTGAATGCCTCGCCGGCGTCGACTTGGCGAGCGAGATGATGCCGGCAAAGTACGACGCGGCCGTGCCGCACCCGACGAAGAACCAGCACGAGGCGACGACGACCCACTCGGCGTCGTGCGGCGGTGCGCCCTCGAGCTCGCGCGACAGGGCGAGCTTGTACCGCCACACGAGGCCGCTGAAGCCCGTCGCGAAGAGGGCGGCCGACACGAACGAGACGGCGCCGGGGCCGCGGCGGTCGGCGAGCGAGCCAAAGTAGGCGGCGAGAGCGTACTCGCCGAGGATGGCGGACGACGCGATCAGGTTGACCTTGGACGCGGTGACCTGCAGGGCCGACTGGAGCTGGGGCGAGAAGAGGGCGAAGACGAAGGGCGCTGTGGGGGAAGAGCCGGCGGTCAGCCACCTCGAGCGTCGCAAGTGCGTCCCTTGCCGACACGTGCGCTCGCGCAGCACGTGGAAGAGATCCTGGTGCTCACCTCCTGCAGTCAGACAGTTGGCGAGCGCGGCTGCGCCCGAGAGGACGCGGTGGTGTGTTCGTGCCGGCCTCGGCTGCATGTTGGCGGCTTGTGCTCGTGTGCGCGGCTGGCGGTAAGGTTGGTCTAGGTGAGGGCGACGCTGGTAAGTGGGCGGGCAGGCGTCGGTGCAGCCGGTGCTGAGCGATGAGCGAGAGGGAGGCGGAGCAAGGCGCCGCGAGCAGGCGGTGTCGTCGTCTCTCTCGGTCGTGGTCGGGCAAGGCTGGTGGATAGCGTATTGAAGGGATGCTTGACCGACTGGACCTGCGCAGTCCAGTCCTCAGTTGAAAGCGTGCGAGGTGTCTCGGCGGCGAGGCCTCCGTCAGGCTCGCGCTCGCAAACGAGAGGCCTCCTCTCCCCTCCGTCGTCTCCTCCCCGTCCCTCTACAGAGCACCATGGTCGCTGCGATTGCGAGCAACTTCTTCTCGGGCGCCTTCGCCACCCCGGCCCTCCCGTCCTTCTCCCTCGGCGGCATCGGCGCCTCGGTTGTCGACGGTGCGCCTTCTTGTCCCCCTCGCCTTGGTCCCACCCGCCCGCGCCGACCGCGGCTCACATCGCCTCTTGCGCCCCTGCAGACGCCAAGGCCAAGGCCGACGCCCTCGCCAACAAGGCCCAGGGTGCCGCCCAGGTGCGTCCCACTCTCTCTCGCGCCCTCGCCGAGGCTCCGTGCTCGTTCGCCCTCGGCCGCACTCGGGGCTCTCATCTCGTCGCCTGTCGCATACACTGACCCTTTGCTCTCGCTCGCTCGCAGTCGGCTGAGGACAAGGCCAAGGGTGCGCTCGCGCAGGCCAAGGACAGTGCGTCCCCCCTCTCTCGCCTTGGGCGCGGCGGTCGGCTGGCGCGCGACTCGACCCTCCTCCTCGAGCGACCCGGAACTGACCCGCTCTCGCTCTGCAGGCGCCGCCAAGACCGCGTCCAAGGCCGCCCCGGGCAAGATCGAGCTCTACTCGAGCAAGTACTACTACACTTGCGCCCTCGGCGGTGCCGTCGCGTGCGGTGCGACTCACGGCTTCGTCACCCCGCTCGACCTCGTCAAGTGCCGCAAGCAGGTGCGCACCCTTCTCTCTTGCGTTCTCGTCGAGCCTCTCGCGTGCGACCCGGCGAGCTGACCTTTCGCGCGCCGCAGGTTGACAAGAACCTCTACAAGTCCAACATGGACGGCTGGAAGAAGATCCACGCCGAGGGTGGTGTCCGCGGCCTCTAGTGCGTCCCCTGCTCTCTCTCTCCTTCACGTCGAGGCGCTCCGCCAGGCCCGTTCGTACTGACCGTCGTCCTCGTCGACTCGCTCGCGTGCAGCACCGGCTTCACCCCGACCCTCATCGGTTACTCGATGCAGGGCGCCGCCAAGTACGGCTTCTACGAGTTCTTCAAGAAGACCTACTCGGACATGGCCGGCCCGGAGAACGCCGTCAAGTACAAGGACGCCATCTTCCTCGCCGGTTCGGCCTCGGCCGAGTTCCTCGCCGACATGGCCCTCGTCCCCATGGAGACGGTCAAGGTCCGCATCCAGACCACCTTCCCGCCGTTCGCGTCGGGCGCCGTCTCGGGCCTCCAGAAGGTCGTCGCCACCGAGGGTGCCGGCGCGCTCTTCAAGTCGCTCCCGTCGCTCTGGGGACGTCAGATCCCTTACACCATGATGAAGTTCTGGTGCGTCCCGCTCGCGTCTCTCCCTTTTCTCGAGTCTGTGGTTGACCCCGCTCTCGCCATGCAGGTCGTTCGAGGCGACCGTCGCCGCCATCTACAACGCCATCGGCAAGCCCAAGGAGGTGCGTCGCCTCGTTTCCCTCTCTGCCTCGCTCGAGCCCTTTACTGACTCTGTCTCTCTCTCGCAGACCTACAACAAGCTCGAGCAGCTCGGTGTCTCGGCCACCGCCGGTTACATCGCCGGTGTCTTCTGCGCCGTCGTCTCGCACCCCGCCGACACCATGGTCTCGAGTGCGTCCCGCTCCCTCCCTCCCTCTCTCGTTCTCGGCGCCCTCTCCCGGACCGACTCACTGACCCCTCATCGCCCCCACAGAGCTCAACGCCCCGGTCAAGCCTGGCCAGGTCAAGCCCTCGGTCGGCAGCATCTACTCGGAGATCGGCTTCGGCGGTCTCTGGGCCGGCCTCGGCACCCGTATCTTCATGATCGGTACCCTCACCGCCCTCCAGTGGCTCATCTACGACTCGTTCAAGGTCTACATGGGTCTCCCGACCACCGGTGCGGCCGAGCCCAAGAAGGCGTAGATGGACAGGTCGAGGTCCCCGTGTGTTTTACCCCCCCCCCCCCACTCGTGCCCGCAATCTCAGCTTCCTTGTGTCTCTCTTGGCGCTGTGTGTGTGCGCGAGAGCTGAGAGCGCGAGCGAGAGCGCTCGGCGAGCCATGGAGCTGGTGCGAGCGACTCAACTCGGAGCGACCGAGCCTTGCTGCGAGAGAGCAAGCGACTCGCGAGGGTCGTGCGCTCTTTTGCGCTACGGCTGGCAGCGCAGAGGCCGCTTGCTGGCTGGGTGGGTTCCGAGCTTGACAGGCGGCAGTCGTGCAGAGCTCGCGGGCTTGAGTCGCCGCTCGCAGCTCGCTACCAGCGTCGGACAGACGGCGCAGTATGAGCACAAAGCGAGTCTTTGACTACCTAGGAATAGTAGTCCTGAGCGCCGGCAGCAACGAGTCTGTCCCGCGAGGTCCGTGCGTCGACGTACTCGGGCCGCTCGCTCCCTGCTTCCGCTGTTGCGGTGCAGTCGGCTGCCTCAGCTTGCCAGAATGAATGACACAGTGCGCTTGACGCCGTGCGATAGCGCATGCCGCCGGTCTACAGCGACGTGCGCCAAAACCAGCCTGACCGGCCGCACGGATTTTTGCCGAGGCTTCCTGGCAGGCTGTCTTGCCTGACTCGTCGTGTCCTGCCCCTGCTAACCCTTGCCTGGAGCAAGCAGGAGAATGTGCCGAGGCAAGCAACGCATGGCGAGCTTTGTCGTGAGCAGGGTGCCTGAGCGCGCGGTGCGGCAAAAAAGGACGTCCTCGGACAGGTTTGAACTGTCGACCTCCCGATGGGCGACTGTGCAACAGGTTGCGGTAACAGTCGGACGCTCTAACCAACTGAGCTACGAAGACGCGGCTGAATGGCACTTTGCAGTGTGGCATCCCCGTCAATACCGGCATTTAATAAGCTGGCTTTCGCTTTCGCGCTGACAGGGGCTCCTCTCCTCTTCCCTGTATGCCTTTGCAGATTCTTGACGTCTGCTCAAAGGAAAGTGGGCACGTTGCTGGATGCCCAGCACCAGGGCAAGCGGGCAGAGAAGTGGAAAATCCAGGGTTCCGGGCTGCCTCTTAAGCGCACACTGCTGCGCTGTTCCCCGGCGGTCTTTTGCAGTGTGGTCGGGGAAACGCTGTGCCTTGATGTTGTGGCCAGTGGCCAAGGCCAGCGGACTGCTCCTCCTGCCCTTGCCTAGCTCTCTCTCTCTCTCTGTCTCTCTCTCTCTCTCTGTGCGACCTACGCCTCCCTCTCTTGCCTGAGATCTTGTGAGAGCGTTGGTGCAGCCCTTGTCCTCCCTGCAAGGAGGCCTGCCGTTCCAGTTGCGGATAGATCTTTTGGCAGGGGCTTGTCCAGTTGCTGGAAGGTACTTGACAGGGTGAATGATGGCGCTGGAGAGTTTCAGGGCAAGTCACTTACAAGATCCAGGTGTGGGGGCCTCGGACCTGCCGTTATCGCAGGGAGGACAGGAGCTGCAGCGACGCTCTCACGAGACCTCAGGCGAGAGAGGGAGGGAGAGGTAGGTTGCAGAGAGAGAGAGAGAGCTACGCAAGGGGAGGAGGAGGAGCGGCCCGCCGGCCTCGGCCGCCGGCGGTGGCCCTCTGCCCTCCGGGCACATACTCCCGGCCGCAAAAGAGCGAGCGCCAGCAAGCCGAGAGCGAAAAAAAAAAAGAGGGGGGAGAGAGAGAGAGAAAGAGAAAGAGAGATAGAGGGAGAGAGAGAAAGAGAGAGAGGGTGGGAGAGACGCGCCGTGCAGGCGGGGAACTTGGGGAAAAGAGCGGACGCCTGAGAGTGTCCGCTACGCGAGCGTGTAGGGCGACCGGCGCAGCGGGTTGCGGGCCGGTCTCGGCGGTGGGTGTGACGAGGAGGGGGAGGCGAGGAGCGCTGCCGCTGGGAGTGCGGCGTTCGGAGCGTCTGGGTTGGCCAAGTCGACGTCGCGAAGGCCATCCGTCTCGTCCGCCTCCTCCTCGTCGTCGTCTCGTTGCTCTTGCTCGACAGCGTGCTCCCAGTTCCCGAAGAACTCGGCAAGCGTCGGCAAAGGGTGGGCGAGCTGGGCCGCCTCGTCCGCAGCTGACGGTGCGAGGTAGCGCTTGAGCCGGTTGGCGTGCACTCGAGCAGCGAGCGGCTCGCCTGTTGCCGGGTTGTCGAGCCAGAACGTGACGTTCGTCGCGTGCGTGTCGTCGATCGAGAGGTCTGGGCGAACGTCTGAGCCGCGAGCGACGATGCGGAACGGCCCTTTCCACTCCTGCTGCAGCTTGTGGTTCAGCTGCATGGTGAGGTGAGAGGCATGTAGCCAGACGAGGTCGCCTCGCTTGAGCTCTGAGGACGATGCTGCCGAGGCTCCTCGGAGAGCTGCGGCGTTGCGAGCGTCGGCGCGCTCCTTGCGGATGCCCTGGTTCCGGACGAGGGTCGCGAGAGCTGCGTCTGCTTGGCTCTCTGCTCTCGCGCTCGCGATGATCGCTTCGAGGCGGCGATCGACGATTGTGTCGAACGCTTCTGCGAGGAGGTCGTTGACTGGAGGAGGAGCGAGCGTGGGGAAGCGCTTGTAGCCAAAGAGAAGGTCGGACGGTCGAGCGCCCGTCGTGCTCACGACTCGGTTGTTGAGCCGGTTGACGATCTTGTGCAGCAGCGACGGCCACTTCTGCGTCGGGCCGTCGGCGTCGGGAGGCGCGCACGCTCGCTCGAGAGCTGAGAGGAGCAAGCCGTTCGTGCGCTCGACGAGGCCGTTCGTGTTGGGCGAGTACACGGGCGTCATGCGGCGCTCAACGCCGTGCCTCTCGCAGAACGCGTTGACCTCCTTCGAGTTCAGGTGCGAGCCGTTGTCCGAGAGCAGGACAGCAGGGCAGCCGTAGTGCTCGAACAGGTCGGCAAGGGCCGAGATCGTCGAGGCGCCGTTGTCCTTCTCAAACTTGTATGCCCAGGTGAAGCGCGTGAAGTAGTCGACGATGACGAGGACCGACTTGTACTTGCCCACTTTGGGGAGCGAGAAGTAGTCCATCGGGAGATGGGCGCGAGGACCGTGATGGGCTGAAGCTTGGTCTTGAAGACTTGCCGGCCAAATTGCTGGCACTGCTGGCAGCGAGAGATCGAGTCGGTGACGCTGGCCGTGAGGTTCGGCCAGTAGAAGCGAGGGAAGAGGTGCGCGATGATCCGGTCTCGTCCGCCGTGCGCGAGCTGCTCGTGCGTTGCGAGGATGAGGGACCGTCTCTCGCGCTCGGGGATGCACTCGCGGCCGACTGGCTCGGCGTTGCAGACGCGTCTGAGCGAGCCGTCGCTGCCGATGAAGTAGGATCTCACCGAGCGGCGCAGACGGCCGGCCTCGGGCGGTGTCGCGCCGTCCGGGGGCTGCAGCGTGAGCAGGAACTCGACGATCGGCTCGAGGAACGCGTTGCCTTTGAAGCGCGCTCGGAGCGCGATCTCCTTGTCGTCGCTCTCGATGAAGAACGCTGCGAAAGCTGCGTTGAGAGGTTTGAGGCCCGAGCGGACCTTCTCAAGTCGGGACTCGCAGTAGTCACTCCACGAGGGGGGGATCGTCGACTCTGGGGTGACCTCGTCGCCTTCCTCAAGGCTTGCTTGTCGCGAGAGCTCGTCTGCTGCCGCGTTGAGCTCGCCCTCTCGGTGCGAGAACTTGATGATGTTGTGCCTGAGGATGTACTCTCGCCAGCGAGCGTGAGCAGGAGAGACGTTCTGGAGCGAGAGGATGCCGGCGAGGGCCTGGCAGTCCGAGATGAGCTCGATCGGACGGCCGAAGATGTACGCCTTGAACTTCTCGAGAGCCCACTTGACAGCGACAAGCTCGAGCAGGAAGGCAGAGTAGCGCTTCTCGGACGGCTTGGTTCCCTTCGAGGCGAACTCGATCGGGTGCACTCGCTCGACCATCTCGCCCGTCTCGGGGTGCTCGTAGCGGAAGCGCTGCGAGAGGACCGCTCCGAGGCCGATGCGCGAGGCGTCCGTCTCGATGATGAACGGGAGCGACCAGTCGGGCGCGCGAACGACCGGGAAGGAGGTGAGCGTCCTGCGAATGTTGTCGTTCTGCGGCTCGGGCCACTCGACGACCGTCTGGACCTTGGCCTTGTCCGGCTGGACGCCCTCCTTCGAGACGTGCGAGCCGCACCAGACGAGCGAGGAAGCAAAGAGCTGGCACTTGGCCGGGTTGAGCGACAGCTTGTGCGCTCGGCAGGTCTCGAGGATGCGGCGAATGTTGAGGAGGTGCTTGTCGAACGAGTCGGCCGACGTTGCGAGGTCGTCCATCCACGCTTCCATCGACTTGCCGAGCTCGTCGCGGAAAGCCGTCGAGACGAGCTCGCAGAAGGCAGCAGGAGCGCCCTTGAGCCCGAACGGCATGCGCTTGTACGCGTAGTAGCCTCGGTCCTCGACCGCAAAGGTCGTCTTGAGCACGTCCTCTGGCTCGATCTCGATAGCGAAGTAGCCCAAGTGCATGTCAAAGCAGGAGTAGTACTTCTTGCCCGAGAGGTTGCCGATCTTGGCGTTGAGGTCGCCGGTGGGCCAGGAGGCGCCGACCGTCGCGTCGTTGAGGTCGAGGAAGGCGTGGCACAGGCGCCACTTCTTGGGCTTGGCTGCCTCGGCAGGGAACTCATCGAGCTTCTGCTCGACCCAGCCGTGCATCTTGGCCTCGGACTCGGCGATAGAGTCCTCGAGAGCGCGAAGGAGCTCGTCGCGCGACTTGGGCTGGTTCGAGAGGTCCTTCTTGGGCGCGACCTTGTTGTGGGAGACCCAGGTGACGTTGTCGTAGTGGACCTTGACGATGACGCCCGCCTCAAGGAGCTTGTCGATCTGCTCGTAGAGGAACGCCTTCTGGTCGGGGTTGTTGGTTGGGTGGTGGCGAGCTCGAGTCGGGACTGCGCCGGGCGTGGGAATCCTCATGCGCACCGTGTTGGTCGCCTGCACCTCTGAGAGCGAGAACGCGAACTGGTCGGTGAACTCGTTGAGCAGCGAGTAGATCTGCTCCTTCTCCGAGGGCGAGAACGAGTGGCCGGCGTCGCCGACTTGGACAACTCGGCGGACCTCGGCTCGACGCTCCTTGAGGGAGGGCTCGCTAGCCCGAGCGTCCATCATGACAGCATGAAGCGTCGGCAGCTGGGCCGTCTCGGTCGCGTCGGGCTCAAGCCAGCTCGGGTCGAGGGCGGGGAGGGAGGGGGACGCCCAGCGCTCCCACTCGTCGCCGCTCGTCGCGCCCTCGGCGGCACGCCAGAACTCGCACGCGGCGTCGTCGCGCTCAAGGCGCCTGATGATGCGCTCGATCTCGCGCTGGTCTAGGAAGGTGGAGCCGTCGGAGCCGGGGACGAGGTCTGCCCTTGGGTGCAGCGTGAGCTCGCGGCGCCACGCCTCCTTGCGCAGAGCGGCGGCGATCTCGGCCGGGTGCGACGTCGGCGAGGTGGTGCGCAAGAGGGGGAGGTGGAAGTTGCGGCGGTCGTCGAGCGAGATGAGGCCGTCGTCGTCCGGGATCGGCGTGAGGCAGGCTGCTTCGAGCTTGGTCTTGGGGCCGTGGAGGCCGGCAGCCTCCTGCATGAGCAGCACAGGAGGGCTGGCAGAGCCAGCGGTTGGCTCTTGAGCGAGAGTGAGGGACTCGAGAGAGGAGCTGAGCTCGGCCGGGTGGAGGGGGACGGCGGTGAAGTTGGGCGCAGCTTTCGGGTTCTTGTTCCACAACCTGCTCCACCTGCCCGGCACGCTTGTCGGGTGCACGATACAGTCGATCGCGTAGAAATGGATCGCGCCGATCTGCGCTTTCCAGGGCTTGCCGAGGAGGAGCTGGAACGCTCGTCCGGCGTCGAGGACTCGGAACTTGACGAGCTCCTCCGTCACGCCAACCTGCACTCGGATCGTCGTGAAGCCGACCAGG